TCGAGCTTCATTCACAATTACAATACAATTGATATGATTCTGCTTCGCAAACGTGACGAAAGTAGCTGATGACGCATTCGCATTTCTGTAAAAAAAAAAAAAAAATTGGTGCGAGGAAATGGAGTCAATTAGGGTTACTAAACTATAGTTGTGAATTTTTACTGCAGAAAATTGAGAGTTTCTCTGTGTTCGTGTCGCGGTGTTTACGAGAAAAAGTGGGTAACGTAGGAGACCAGGTTTCATTAAGCGTAATTGCTGTTGTATTGCAAATAGACGTAAAAGGTTTCATCTCGTTGAGGCTATATGTTTTTTTACCAGCGTAGAAGATGATTGCAGAGATTCTACTTTGAAATTAATTCACGTTACGTAAATTTTTTATTGAAAAATATTTCTTCGCGTATTAATATCCAATCACAATTATAGCAAAATATCGTTCGTGTATAAATAAAATTCTTCTTTGTTTGTCGATTATAGAATGAATTAAAGAGATTTCAAAAAAATCTAGATAAAATATAGATAATAATCACGCGTTTGTTTATTTATCAAAAAAATTTTTACGATATATTATTATTAAAACAATCCGAAACATCCTGTTGAAATCGCTTTAAAATTTTGACTATCGTCGAACATCATATCCACGACTATGGTACAAAATATTTATCATTTGTGTTAGATAATTATCGATATTTGTTTGCAACGGCATACATCCGTTGATTTTTAACGTCATTTACCACGAAACTTTAACGAAACGCAAACAGTGTTATGTAATTTTTAAACAACACACACCGGCGGCAGATACTATACCTGCAAATTATTCTGTCCAATGATGGGGTCAGCTGCTTTTGTTTCGAAACATCAGGTGGCAAGCTGAACGGGCCGAACGGTAAGTAAATAGAATTCAGCACGATTGACGATCGTTGACAATGAAATATTTCTCGTACAACGAACCGAACATGACACCGTTACTTCGTCGAAAGTGAAACGTGAAATAAACGAAACTGGTTATCCACAAAGGAGGCGATAATTAACGTGAAAATCCATTTATACGTCGATCATATAATGACGACGTGAGGAAATTAATAAGAAGATTTATCATCTATAATAAATAAGTATTTATCGTGACAAGGATAATCGTGTATTACACGCAATTGCGTGTAATATTCTTAAATATCGGCATGAATATTTGCATTCTTTTGCTATAAAGAAAATTTTTAATTAATTTTTTCTTTCTTATAGGTTAATACGAATTTTATAAGTTAATGCGACTTTCGTTATTTTTATGCTTCTATTTCTTGAAAATTTCAAGAAATTAAACTTATCGATTGACACGTTCATGACAAATAGATTATAAAGATGGCTTAAGTATAGTTCATAATTAAAAAATATTAACTATACGTGGCTAATATGTTGATTATATATATATGTATATATTAATACAACGATAATAATTAGTTGATATTTTCTTCCGTATATTTCGATATCATTACTAACGATATTTTGTTTTATATTTTATTTTTTCTATATTTTTTATTTTTTTACGCATCAGCATTATTTGAGATATTATATTAAAAATATAAAAAAAATTATCATCATCATTATTATTTATAGAATAAATTAACACTTTTGTAACTCTGTACAGATCGGAAATAAAATCAAAATAATTATTTTTTTAGAAACGCGAATGTCATCAATTTATATATATATATATATATAT